TTGTGGATCATCTTATGGCGAATAACACTACTTCTTTGAGCAAAGGTCTTCCCACATTCCATGCATTTATACGGCTTCTCTCCTTTGTGGATCATCTTATGGCGAATAAGATAACCTCTTTGAGCAAAGGTCTTTCCACACTCCAGGCATTTAAATGGCTTTTTCCCTGCATGGATCATTTTGTGGATAGTAAGTCCATTACTATAAGCAAAGGTCTTTCCACACTCCATACATTTATACGGCTCCTCCCCTGTGTGGATCATCTTATGGGAAATAAAATTCCCTCTTCGGGCAAAGGTCTTTCCACATTCCATGCATTTAAATGGCTTTTCCCCTGCATGAATCATTTTGTGGATAGTAAGTCCATTACTATAAGCAAAGGTCTTTCCACACTCCATACATTTATACGGCTCCTCCCCTGTGTGGATCATCTTATGGGAAATAAAATTCCCTCTTCGGGCAAAGGTCTTTCCACATTCCATGCATTTAAATTGCTTTTCCCCTGTGTGGATTATTTTGTGTATTCTTATGTCACTGTTATGAGCAAAGTTCTTCCCAAACTCCATGCATTTATACTGCTTCACCTCTGTGTGGACCACCTTATGGCGAATAAGGTAATCTCTTTGAGCAAAGGTCTTTCCACACTCCATGCATTTAAATGGCTTTCCCCCCGCATGGATCATTTTGTGGATAGTAAGTCCATTACTATAAGCAAAGGTCTTTCCACATTCCATACATTTATATGGCTTCTCCCCTGTGTGGATTCTCTTATGGGAAATAAGATTCCCTCTTCGGGCAAAGGTCTTTCCACATTCCATGCATTTAAATGGCTTTTCCCCTGTGTGGAGCTTTTTGTGGATAGTAAATCTATTGCTCAGAGGAAAGGCCTTTTCACACTCTTCTTTGTTTTGGCTTAAATAGTGTTCTTTTACTTGTAATTTAGATTTGATTAGCTTCACACTTTTCCCAATATATTTTTTCCTTATTTTCTCCTGTTGGGCAAGAAAGTCTTGCATTGGAGCATCAGTGAAAGATGAGCTTTTCTGATTCCAATCATTTGACTGATTTCTGCCATGGGTTTCTAGTTCCATTCCAATTCTAAACTTCTCCATTCCATCTTTAGCATTGATCACTTGGAACAGTTCACAGGAATCTTGATTCTCCTGCCCATTATTACCTTCAAAACAAAAGAGAAATGAAAATAATAACAAGGTTGGAAAAAATGATCAAACTGTACAAAGTAAAATAAATTTCTTTCTGAATTTTTCCGAAATTCCATTATGTTTTATGTTTGCATGCTTACAGTGGTCTGATATAGATATGATGATTTCTATATTCATGAGTCCTGAAAGTTTTGAAAATATCCAGAAAACATCTTTCTTTATATCTTTATATCCATAAATCTCAATCAAAATTTGTTTTGAGTTAAGGAATAATCAGGGGAAACATCCAAGGAGGAATAAGGAGAAAACTTAAGATTTATTGGGGTGGGTAAATTTCACCAGAGACCAGTGAGAACTGAAACAATTTTGAAAAAAAGTTCTTCTTCCCTCGTGTACCTTGGAGCAGCTGCTCCACAGTGTCCGTCTGGCAGGCAGATCTCCCTCTTGACCCATTCTTTGATCCCAACAAAGAAACTTTGGAGCGANCCCTGTGTGGATTATTCTGTGGGAAATAAGATTTCCTGTTCGAGCAAAGGTTTTCCCACACTCCATGCATTTATACGGCTTCTCCCCTGTGTGGATCCTCTTATGGGAAATAAGAGAACTACTTCGAGCAAAGTTCTTCCCACACTCCATGCATTTATATGGCTTCTCCTCTGTGTGGATTATTTTGTGGGAAATAAGATTACCTCTTTGAGCAAAGGTCATTCCACACTCCATGCATTTAAATGGCTTTTCCCCTGCATGGATCATTTTGTGGATAGTAAATCCATTACTATAAGCAAAGGTCTTTCCACACTCCATACATTTATACGGCTTCTCCCCTGTGTGGATCATCTTATGGGAAATAAGATTACCTCTTCGAGCAAAGGTCTTTCCACACTCCATGCATTTAAATGTCTTCGCTCTTGTGTGGATTCTTTTGTGTATTCTTAGGTCACTCTTATGAACAAAGGTCTTCCCACACTCCGTGCATTTATATGGCTTCTCTCCTGTGTGGATCATCTTATGGGAAATAAGATTTCCTCTTCGAGCAAAGGTCTTTCCACACACCATGCATTTATATGGCTTCTCCCCTGACTGGATCCTTTTATGGGAAATAAAATTACTACATCTTCTGAACCTGTTTCCACACTCTCTGCATTTGTGTAGCGTCTCCCCAGCGTGAATCCTTTCCTGAGAAGTAAGTTGCCTCCTTTTTCTAAAAAATGTTCCACATTCCAAACATTTATATGGCTTCTCTTTTGTGTCAATCTCTTGTTGAGATGTAAGAAACTTATTTTCAAGAGAAGGAATTGATGTCCCGTTGTAATTTTGTCTGTTGTGTCTTCTTATAGCATCTTCTTTGTTTTGGCTTAAATAGTGTTCTCTTACTTGTAATTTAGATTTGATTAGCTTCACACTTTTCCCAATATATTTTTTTCTTATTTTCTCCTGTTGGGTAAGAAGCATTGGCGCATTGGTGGAAGATGAGCTTTCCTGATTCCAACCATTTGACTGGTTTCTGCCATGGGTTTCTAGTTTCATTCGAATTCCAAACTTCTCCATTCCATCTTTAGCATTGATCACTTGGAACAGTTTACAGGAATCTTGATTCTCCTGCCCATTATTACCTTCAAAACAAAAGAGAAATGAAAATAATAACAAAGTTGGGGGAAAAGATCAAACTGTACAAAGTAAAATGAATTTCTTTCTGAATTTTTCCGAAATTCCATTATGTTTTATGTTTGCATGCTTACAGTGTTCTGATATAGACATGATGATTTCTATATTCCTGAGTCCTGAAAGCTTTGAAAATATCTAGAAAACATCTATTTCTTTATATCTACAAACCTCAATCAAAATCTGTTTTGAGTTAAGGAATACTGAGGGGAAACATCCAAGGAGGAATAAGGAGAAAACTTAAGATTAATTGGGGTGGGTTAATTTCAGCAGAGACCAGTGAGAACTGAAACAATTTTGAAAAAAGGTTCTTCTTCCCTGGTGTACCTTGGAGCAGCTG